CTTGGGCCGCCCTTCGCTTGGAAGGGTGTGCAGACCCCCCGTCCGACGGCCCGGCGTTGTCCAGCCGCCCGCGCTGCGCGAGGTAGGTGTTAGCGACACCCGGCTGAGGGGGAACAGCCCTGTACGCCGCTTTCTGGGGTGAAGCGCTTCCTCAGAGCCGCGTGACCAGAGTGGAAGCATGCCCTCAGCTCTGCGAGCAACAGCACCCCTGCTTTCCGGCATCACCTGTATGCCCGCCTTCCTCGGGAGCTACGGGTAGCGAGACCATGAAGGACCAGACACCAACGGCTCCAAGAGACCGGAGAGTTTCTGCGGGCCCGTCTGACACCCGGACGAACGGTCAGTCTCCAGAGCAAGGGCAAATGATTACTCAGACAGAACTTCTCCCAAAGGATGGGCACGCTCACGTTGGGACACTGCTGCGCAAAGCCTGAAGCCTAACACGCAAGCAGTCCCATCCTGCCTTCCCACCCCCTTTCTTTGGGTATCTATAACCAGAAGACCCCAGTCAGTTCAAATAGCAGAGTCTGCAAGAAACCCCAGTGATAACCAAGCGCAAACCAAGTGAGTACACCCGGAGGGGTCGTTGTGCAGTGAGTCTGTCCCGAGTTCCCACTGTGAAAGGCCTCTGCAGGCCTCCACGCTCCCTCAGGACTGCTCATTTCACAGAAAAACACCGGGTGGGCATGTGGGGAGCAGGGAAGAAAGAAAAGGGATTTGGGAATTAAAGTATGACAAGAAACTGGCCACAACTGAGACAAAACGGGAGTGTTTTTCCTTTCACTTTGGTGCAAGTTTGTTTATTCTGTACGCTATCCATCCATACACCGGTGATACAAATTCTAGGAACCTGCCACAAAGCATCGAAGCACAACATACCTATTATTCTGTAGACATCGGCATTTTCAACAGCATCCGGCCCCGTGGGCGGGCAGCGACTCCGCACAGAAACCCGCCCTTCCGTAAAAATGCGGATGTCCGAGAACTGTACGCACATGAGGGAGGGGGGAGCAAAGCTGTTCGCTTGTGGGGAACGAGGCTCAAGTCTTCAGATTAAAACCAAAAATTCCATCCCTGGAAGAGCTGGCTGTGGGGATTTCTGTCAAGGACCCTGTAAACTTGGTTATACAGTAAAACCTACGCCGGCTTTTTGCTCTGTGGAGGTCAGCAATGGGGCTACGTGAGGACTTAAGTCTCCCGCCGCACAGCGCCTGGAGCTGTTGGCAGGTTTGACAAGCTGCCTGGAGTACCTGGAGCGCTGTGCGGGGTGAAGGGAACGCTCTGCACCCTCAGCTCTGTTTCACAGGGCTTTTCCAGCTAGGAAGTTTTCCAACCGGTACAATCGGCGCTTGAGAACAGCTACGCTTCTGCACCACGTACGTGCCTTAATTAAAATGACCCATCAGCAAGCGCAGTCACAAGAGGGAGAAACACAACACACAGACAACGCGTTTGCGCCACGGCGCCCTCCGAGGCCGGAAAACCTGGTAACTCTGAAAGCCCTAGAAAATGCTGCGCTGGTTTCAAAACCACCTACTTGGCATAGGACCACATCTCTCTCTTTGCACACAAACGTTTCCCGCATCTCCCCCTCGCCGCGTTAAGCGTTCTGCATTTCTTTGCCGATCTTGTAGCTGAGGATTTTGTTCCAGTCGATCTTGGTGCGGGTGACGGGCAGCTGCCGGCGCAAGGCTTTGAAAGTGGTGTCCGACATCGTCTGGTAGTTCTCGCTGATCGCTGTCTGCAAGGCAAGTGGAACGAGTCAGGGAGCGACAAGGGACTCGGGGGAAGCTGGCTGTTACAGCCCCAGAGCCCTCTCTACCAGGCAGAGGTCACTGATGAATGATGCACTGTTACATCAGACCAGGGCGCCTGCAAGTACGAGGGCTGGTCACACTCCCCTGCGAGTGCAGCACCGTCTCCTCGGGTGTTTCACTGACTGCTCTCTCACCAGGCTCCCTGCACAAGGGCTGGGATGACGTAAAAACCTGTCACAAAAGTCTCCTCTTCAGCGTTTTTAACTGTCACAGAGGAAACCATTGAGACTCACCCGCTCCCCTTCCACGCTTGCTCCAAGCACCGCTGCTAACTCTTCAAAATAACTAACCAAGATTATTAATTACATGTAGTCTTACAACTATGTTCTTTAAACAAATGCTACTGCCCTTTCTCAGTAATTCTCAGTCAGTACCAGATTCAGGCAGAACGAGAATGAGAGGTCAACTTCCCCTGAACTCTAAACGGAGGCTGAGATGATTCCCATTTCTTTGACCACTGCTGATCTTACCTGGTACTCGTTTTCTGCGTTTTCGATTATCTTAATAAATTCCTTAGCTGTCTGGACATCACTCTACAAAAAGGAAAAGTACATTTTTATATGTTAAGAGCAATTTACAACAGATCTCCTAACTGACAGGCTGAGTATTGATGAAGCTGAAAACATGAGCAGCTCCTGCCTCAAGCCTGGAGCTGGGTTCCTCTCGCTCCCTATGGATGTCTCGGGAGGCTCAAGCTAGAGCTTGTGCTCCAAACCCCAACGGGACTGCACCCTAGCGAGCAAACGGGAAGTAGGCCTTCATGGCACAGACTGGAGATTCTGTGACTGTTGCTCCCTCTACTGTACTACAGGACTTCTTGTTTTCCCTTGATCTGCTGCTCCTGGGCTCCCTTGCAGACGGAGAAGCATGCTCTGCCCTAACTGGAATAGGAAGATAAGCTTTCCAGCAGACTGTACTTTCTAACACAGCCTAACTTAGAGCAAGTGAGAATCTGGGTTTCTCACGTACCTCTATGCTGACCCGTCCCCCTAAAGTGACATTATTTTCAAGTCAAGAGAGCGCAGTCAGAAGCGTACACCCCACAAGATGCTGAAGAAATAAAAAAGCTACTTTATACAGAAATTGTTTTGCAAACTTACCGAAACCTGTATGGAGTCCTGGACATCTTTATGGCTAACCAGCTGAACGTTGCCATCTTCGTAATAATGAACCTGAGCAAAGAGACAACTGCAGGTCACCGCTGAGGCTCACTCCATAATCCCTCGAGCCCCCAGAAGCACTTGCTGTGCCGCTCTTCTCCGCTTACGTGCAGACTAAAAGCAGGATGGGTTTTCTAAAAGGTTTCAGTCTTTGTTAAGACTGTTCAAGATTATGTTAATGCAGCAAACACCTAGAGTTGAAACGAGCAATTACAAGAGCATCCACGGCACAGGCTTTAGCCCTACAAAGCGAAGCAGCCCTGGAGGCCAAAAGGGTAATGCTCTACAATAAACCATGTGCCAGACTGTAGGGGATGTCCAAAACACTAGTTGTAAGAATTAATTGCTTGAGTTGTAGCGTTGAATAGCATCTTGACTTGAGAAGGACATCTCTGCTCTACTTCAGCGTCTCGCCGAGTGGAATGCCTTCGTGTACGAGAAGCACAACGCAGCTACTCCTGCTACTGCCAGAAAAAGGACCTCACCTGGATTTTGAGCACCGCAGCCACTTGTGCTGTTGGTGGTGTGATGGTAAACTTCCACTCCGATCTCCAGCGACCGTTCCTAAAAACAACCAAAGCATGAAAACCATTGCCAAAAAGCTCCAACAACAAAACCAAGCAAAGTAACAAGAGCAGGTTGTTTCTGCTGTCATCTGATGAGCAGCATCACAGTGCCTTAGGTGGCACCGAGCTGGATCTCTGCAGCACAGCCGAGCACAACGCGGCTTCAGTACAGACAGCTCCAGCGCTCGTGCTCGGGGTACGTAAGGGAGTCAGCCAGCCCGGCTAACGCCGTTCTCTGAGCCACGCTGACGCCTCTGGGGAAGTGCCAAGGGGCTGCAAGGAAAACAGACTCCAGAGTAAGAAGCAGAACTTCTTGGGAAGCCCAAGACCACGTGCTCTTCAGACTGTGTCAGAAGACACAGAGGATGGATTTGAGGGCCAGTAAAGGAAGAAAATAGACTGCGCTGAAATAGTCTTACCAGAAGTTTTTGGGCTGGAACTGGTGGCTCTCAATACAGGCAATAATTGTCTGCTGCCCATCTATAGATTTACCATAAACCTGCATTTAGAAAAAGAGTTAAAAAGACCGAAGAGCTGACGAAAAC